AATTGCTCCCATGTACAAAGTCAAGCATGTACAGGACTTTGTACATACCATATATGTACAAGAGAGCTCCTACTGATTTTTTTTTACATGTATTTTTCTTTTACATGTACTAGATTAGAATCATAGAATCATAGAATTGCTCAGGTTGGAAAAGACCTTAAAGATCATTGAATCCAACCTCAACCTAACCATACTACCCTAATTAACGACCTGCTGCTAAATCATGTCCCTGAGCACCACATCTAAATGGTTTTTAAACGCATCCAGGGATGGTGGCTCAACCATCATCAAGCATGTAAAAATTATTTACATAGTATTTGTACAGGTAATTAGATATAGATGTGCATGTGTTATTTGTAAAACAGATATCAATGTTTTATATACTTTTTTGTCCACACAACTGTAAATGTTATCGTGGCTTGCATCATAAGTAGGATGGGCAGCAGGACACAGGGAAGTGATTGTCCTTCTACACATGGCGTTGGTGAGATCACATCTCAAGTACAGCATTCAGTTTTGGGCCCCTCACTACAAGAATATCAAGTTGCTTGAGTATCAGCAACAAAGCTTTTGAAGGAACTGGTAAACAAGACATATAATGAGTGACCACGGAAACTGGGACTGTTTAGTCTTGGAGATGAGAAAGCTGAGGGGAGAGAACCTCATTGCTCTGTACAGCTGCCTGAAAGAATGTTGCAGAGAGGAGGATATTGGTCTCTTTTTTCAGGTCACAAATGAAAGGAGATGAGGAACAACCTCAAGTTGCAAAAGAGGAGGTTTAGACTGAATATTAGGCTCCACAGAGAAATTGGTCAAGCACTGGAAGGTGATGCCCAGGATAACCATCCTTAAAGGTATTTAAGACAGCGATGGGACTTGGTAGTAGCAGGTAGATTGTTGTGCTTGATCTTTGGGGTCTTTTTCAAGCTAAATGATTCTATGATCCTATGGTTCTATATTGTGTCTTACATATATAAATTTACTATGGCTTTTTTTTTTTTTTTTTTGCATATACACATGCTTAGACAGACTAATTCAGATCATAAAATGAGACTCCTTTTTCCTTGCTTAAATTTTAGAGCCATTTTTAACACTGTAGAGTTAACAGAACAATGCTGATATTTTAGGACCATTTGTTTTCTTGCCATATTTACAATGTCATTACATTGTTCACAATGTTCACTAAATGTCTAACTGAATGGAAATATATGATTTAAGAAAAAGGTTCATGTATTACAAGATGTTTTAGGTTTTAGGAGGAAGGAAAATGAATGATATATATTTTGGTTCAACAATAAAAGATCCCTTTGTGCAACAGATCCTACTGACAGCTCTTTAAGAGGTCTCTCACAAAGATACCTCCTATGGGAAGCTAAAAGTATAGTGGAACAATACAAAACATTAGATTAAGTGGAAAGTTTGTTGAGATAGTGGGGTTTTTTTGTTTTTTGTTTGTTTGTTTTAATTAGGAAGGAAATAACATGTATTGTTGTTTTCTATTACAAATGCTATTACCTGAAACTAGAGTGGCTTAACAAAAGAAAGATATGAATAAACAAAATAAAAACTATTCATTCTGTGGATTCTACATTAGTAAACATTTTTCTGTGTGTGCATCATTAGAATATAGATTAAACTCATTTCAGTGTTGAAGGTACAGCTCACCAAAGTAATGATGAATGGGATAGCATATGTAGTAGGCTTCACTTCTTCAGGATAGGCTTCATTGTAGGTAGTTTTCTAGTCTGAATGTCCTGGGGTGGTTGTTGCAAAGAATAGGTAATGAATTTCACTGTGAAATGTGTTTTGAAATATTTAATCTTATGCGTGTTGTTTTCCTTCCACTGCTAAAGGAACGTATGCTTTCTAGAGGAAAGTACCTTCCTATCTCCAGCTATTGAAAAGAAGCTTCCTTTCGTTTGTTGGGTTTTTTTTTGTGTGTCTTTTTTACATTGAAGGTAGCTCACATAGCTTTCTAAGTATGACCTCAGCTAGGTCCCCCACATAGAGATGACACAAACATGAGGGAATAAACAGTAATTAATGCAAGTAAATGAGATTTTCAATAGACTAAAATACCTAAATAGCATTTTGTACTGTGGTGACTGATGTAATAATAGACACTGCAGAGTTATTGTTAAGAAGCACCAAGTGTTATTCTGATGGAGAATTTTTACCTCAAACTGGTTGAGGAAAGGATCCACCATTTAGGATATAGTTTGAAAATATGTCCCTGTGCATGTGTGTGACTAACAGCAAATAGTAAGTGAAGTGTTCATCCCAAACCAGAATAGATGCAATTCTAGAGCTTCAGTTTTGGTATTTTCTCTCCCTGTTGACCCTGTTGTCTCCTATGATAAATTCACATGCTTGTTCGTTTTCTCGGGGAAGCAAACCAAACTATAATAGAAAGCTTCATTAATATTAATTCTAATGGATTCCAGTTACCAGAGTACGAAGTACAAAGGAGGTGTTATAATATTAAATACTTTCGTGAGTAGAATAAATATTTTATAAACAAGCATAAGAATTGCTGCATTATTCATACTGCATAATTCATAAATTTTGTCTCTAAATTTTCATATGACAATAAAATGTATGTATAATGTATGTATAAAATGTATCCTTAGCATACGTAGTTTGAAGGCAAACAATTTCAGAAATAATGCACAGGTTTCATACTTCTTACCTGTATATTTTCATTTCATTTCTCTTCTCTTAAACCTGACCTTTTAAGTACAATGACTCCAGTTGCATTAAAAAGTTACCACACTTTAAGGAAATAGCCTTACAGTATTGAAATATCAAGAGTCACTCATTTCTAGTTTTCCATACTAGACCAGAAGAGTAAAAATACTGGACCTTAAACCCATAAGTTGCTAGAATTGAAGGCATTTCATTTTATACCTTACATTAATAAACATTTAATTGTGATTATATAATAGAGAAAGGGAAAATATTTAAAACGTAATATGAAAAGTTTTGCTGAAATCACTCAGTGTAGTGTTGGTAAATCAGTGCTGTACAGCAAAGATGAATTAGTTTACAGTGTGCAGATGCAGCAGTCAAAAGTGTACAGTAGTCCACCTTTTCACAGAAAAGGACAATGTTATCTGAAATCATCAGATATACAATGTACATATATGTATGAAAGTTAACATGTGCAAAAATGTATAAGTTTACACATTAATAAACATGCATTTGTTTGAACTATTTTTGAGAGTTGAGTATGTATGAACATTGAAGCTAAAATTAATGAGTATTAAGGTAATGTTAAAGAAAGATGCGTAAAACAGCTAATGAATAAAATTGTTAATGTATGTTTTCTTGTGCTATTTTTTATTCACAAAAATGTCATGATAACATAATGTGGGCTGTGTTTTTCTTACAAAATTGAGTATCAAAAATGATGTTAAAAATCCACCTAAGCATTGTCTGTGAATTGACCACAAATTTTCTTTGCATGGAAATGTTCTTTTCAAAAGTAGCTACTTCATATGAAGTAAAATTTCTTTTAAAAACCATCAAAAAGCATTATAAAATGCTTTCAATGTTTAAAGGTTCTGAATCTGAAGAAGGGAAATCTGAGACAAGCAGCTAAGAATTTGCCAGCACAGAATGGGGAGTTTTGCATAAAATTCGAGATTTGATCTTTTTGTTCCCACTGACAGCATAATTTACTTTTAAAGCACTGGAATTTTAAAGTCATTTTAAATATTAAAAAACTGTTACAAATCAGAATGTGAAGTGCATTAGCAGTATATTTCATAGATAGGTATGTGCCTGTGGCTGATGTTAAAAATACTGAAAATGGGCACATTTTTATTTGCTGCATAAGTAAGTTATAATATATAGTCAAGATAAAAAATCATTGTAAATTATAGTAGCAAAGTCATTCTAAAAACACATCTTGCAGTATGTTGCATTTTTCAAATGTTATTTTTTTTTCTATTAGAAATAATTGAACACCAAAATACTGTCCGTTCAGAACTCTGTTAGTTCTGAGTATCAGGTTCTCTGATCTGAATTGGTAAATAGTCACACAATTAAAGTTGGTCAGTAATTATTTTGAGAGATAATGCAGCTCAGCTATAATGAGGCTGAACATTGTGTGTATTGTTACGTATTCTGACAATGATGGAAAGAAATTATTAGGAGAGTTAGTCTGTAACTCATTTTTTTTAAGTTGGCAGTCAGAATGGATTGAGCCAGATGTCTAAAATGCACTTGTAGAAATTTTTGAATATTTTGGCTGTTCGTTCCCACTAAATTGAGATCTGCAGAAATGTCAGATTGCCTACTAGTAAGGGTTGCTTTTAAAGAAGCATGCTCTATGTTAGGCTCTGCAAAAGCACATGAAAAAAACTGATGAAAAAGGAAGGAAAATAATGCTTAATGCTAAAAAGGGTCTTTCAGATTTCTAACAACATATAGCTTTTCTTTTTTTCCATAAAGTTTTTCATTGCTGTGGTTATTTGCTGTGATAAACAAGTCTGAGAGATCATGAAAAATTTATCATTTTCATAAGTATATTCTTCCTTATAATTTACAAACTTGACTTTTTTTAGTGTAAAAAATAAAAAGTTTTAATTTGAGTAATTTGGAAGAGAAAATCCTACTTTCCTTCTTTCTTGCAAATCATTTGCTTTATGGAGAACTCATTTTAAAGTTAGCCATGGAGCTACAATTATCTATCCAAAGTTATCTGACTATTTGGCAATGCTTCAGAGTTCTCTTCTGCAGAACACAGTACAGCACACACAAGTGTCGTAGTGTTTGGTTGTTCTCAGCACCTCATCAGTCAGAAGAGGTAGCAATACTTTCAATTTTTCTTTGTGAGTTTTCTTTGTCAGTTGAGTCACATTTTTGTTCTCTCAGATTGGCTTGCTTGAATGATGGTAATAACATTCATCTTATTAACATGGTATAATTTAAATATACTGTAGCAGTTTTAGAAATTCTGTTCCATTTAGCAGAATCTCTGTTGCCCCCTTTTTCAGATGACGGTTGCTGCTGGTACGAGCATTGAGAATAACATTCAAAGGACCATATCCTGCCCTAATGTATGTTTTACATATTTCGGATTTCTGTGTAATTTAAATGCAAATCCTCCTTTTGTGACTGATAATTTACTGCCCAGAGATGCCTGTCATCTTGAGGTTACTTCATACTGTATGTTATATATATATTTCAGGGTCATTTAATATTGTACTACAAGTGAGGTCTTAGCCTATCAAAATGCTGAATTGGTGTCATTTTTTTCCTGTATGGTTTGATGGCACTGCTAAATAAAGACAATGATAATGCATTCACAGATCCTTCTGAATTTACCTTGCTTCCCTCTCAGCTCAATGCTCTTGTCAGTTGAAATCAGCAGAACAGCAGTAAACAAAATGGGGAAAGCAATGAGAGGCTATATTTATTCCACTTAATCTTGTTCTAAATTGGATTTTAATATGAAGATGTGTAATACTAAATTTGGAAGAAAGGTAATTTCATTTTTCTTGCTTAAACAAATATATCCCATGACTGAATGCAGAAAAGGGGAGTTACTACTGCAGATGAAAGTAAAGCAAGAATCTATTTTGTTAACAGGAGAAGCAATTTATTCACTTGTAGTATAATAGGTCATATATCTTTTTTACTATACCTAGTCAGTAAATTGAAAGTCACTGAACCAAAATTGAGCTTATATACATGAGTGGGAAAATGTTAGCTGGAATTTGGGATGTACTGTTGAGAAAAGAATTTGGTTCTGTTATAGAGAAACTACTTTCTATCATGTAACGTGTTTAATCATTTACTTTTCAGCTAAAAATAATCTTTTTTATCAGGGAGCTATCAGAAGTTCTGGATAAACATTTCCATCACTTTTAAAATATAAGAAACAATTGAACTATGAGTACAATATAGTTAAAGTTACTAATACCTAAGAAAAAAGGTATTGTGATTCAACATCGGGGGAATGAAGTATGTTCTTGCCAATCTGGAAAATGAAGAAAAAAAAAAAAAAAAAAAAAAAAAAAAGTAGAACAACCTTTTTCTCCTGAGATGTTCGTGGTCCTAAGGGAACTTCAAGAAATTATTTCTGCTGTAGTGAAAGAAAATTATACCTTTGAAATCTTGAATCTTTGTGGATTTTGTAGATATACCCCTTGAATGGACCAATACTGTAACTTCATGACTATGATTTGTACTGCTAGAAGGAGCATGGTGGTGATGTGACAGCAGTTGGACAAGGTGATCTTAGCAGTCTTTTCCAACCTTAATGATCCTATGATTCCACATTCACAATTACCTCTAAGCAGAGGAAAAGTGTGATTTTATGCGTGACTAATCATCATGCATGAAAATCCCCAGTCTGTTCCAGATTTCAAACATTATTTTAACTTTGGCAGGGCAATTTTAGTATTTCAGTCTGCAAATAGAAATATTTATGATGAGAGATAACAGTTCACAAGCATGAAAAAATGCAGAATTTCGGATTTAGTTCTAGGATTCTGTACCATTTCTTAAAAAAATAAATAAAAAAACAACAACAGCTTTTTTTGTCTTTCAATTTATTTTCTTAAAAAAAAACAAAACAAAACAAAAACAAACCCAAAACATTAAGACAGGTTCTAAATAGATGTTTTCTTAAAAGAATGGCATGCATGGATTAACTCTTCATTCTTTGGATTATATTCAGTGACACCAAAATAAGCACATAATCCATTAACTGCTGTTGAACAATGACCTTGTTCCTGCCTTTAGAAATCAAAAGCTTTTTAAAATTATTTTAGTTTGTTCTCTTTGGACTTTGTGATGATTTTTTTTTTCTTTTTTGTCCAAAAAAGAAAAAAAAAAAAAGTATCAAACAGCACAAGAATGGAGGATAAAATTTAAAATTTATCATTTCTGACTCCATCTCCTGATTTACCCATCTAAATTTTAATGTTAAATTTATTGTAGCTATCTCTGCTCTAGAGGCAGTGGAGGTTAAAGTTAGTTATCACCTGTCAGCTCATGAGGATATCAGTCTTTGTCCATTGACTGAAAAGGGCACCCTAAGAACTCATCTGGGCTTAGACACCTTGCTTATACAGGTGATTAAAATCATGTAATACAAACTCTGCTTTCCTAGTTTAAGATGTTGTTTAGAACAAAAATTACCTCACCAGACTGCAGCCTGCTAAAAGCTTCATGTTCAGTTAAACTATGATACAGCTTCTCCTTTCAATGGAGAAAACAAGGTACGTGCCGTTCACGTAACATGGAGGAATTCGGACTGAGGGGTCTTCTCTTGATTAAGGCAGTAAGTTGAGTGTATAGATTAGGCTAGACATTAAAGACCATTCTCACAACTGAATCTTGGAAAAAAAGATATAATTCATGTAACAGTGAAATTGAAATCTTGAAATTCATTGAAAGAATAGGCATAGGCTCCAATATTTTCTTCTGAATTCTCTCCACAAACTGCAAAGAAATATTAAGAGGACTTTAACAAGAACTTATTTCATGTTCTAGATTTCACTAGAACACTAAAAGCAAAATCTTTCGTATTTAAAACTATTATTTATTTTCTTCTGTGGAGAAAACCAGTTCAGTCATAAAGGGTGTGAAACAAACTCTTTCCATTGTTGTTTATTTATATCCAAATCATCAGTGGGTGAAGAGGAGTTTACATTCTTACTGTATGAATGCATAGAAGCAACCTAATTCTTAACTCTGAAGACTCTTAACAAGAAGATGCAGTATTTGTTCTACCTCAGACTTTGAAATGATTCTCAATGAAAATTTATTGTGCAGGTGAGTTTTTAGGCTTGAATTCCTCAACTTTGTTTCCAGTTGTATCAGATTTTGTAACTTATTTCAAAGCATCCTATTCAGAGACAGAATACAATCCTTACCAACAGCTTCACATCATCCAAATACATAAACTTTCAGTCATCAACCTTGCTGCAAGCTTTGTATTTACCTCTTCACCCAACATCTTGCGGGGAGAACAGGAAGGGAAGGGAGTTATGTTTTACATGTACTTCTGTTGGCATTAGATCTTCCTAGGACACTGTAGCAACTACAAAAGCACACCCAGCTTCAGTTTTTTTAAAAAACAGTGTATCTGAAAATTGTCAAATTGATGGATAACTAAAAAAGTTGTTATTCCTTCCTAAATACTCTGGCCTCTTGGTGATTGGGAACCATTTATATAGCCCTTCATCACTGAATAAAGGCAGGTTTCTTAGACTTTTTCCACAAGTATGCTTTATGTTATGACTGATTGTTCTTTAGCTAATTAGAAAAAGAAATAAGTGTAGCAATTTAATGCACTGTTTCATATATGAGAAAATACATTAATTAAATATTTTATTATTTCAATTATTCCACTGAATTCCAAACCTGCAATTAACTGTATGAACTGTAACTGGCATTAAGTTTATTAAATGCAAAGTTGAAACTTTGTTTGAATACATGGTAAGTTTTCAGTTACTGGATTACTTATTCTGCAGTGTTTTATGGTTTCTTGTAATTACTGTGAATTGCACAAGTTTATATTTCTGCTGTTCATAAAAGGGATGACAGTGAACCAAATTAATGTCCTCAGTGGAAAACATTCTCACAAGCATACAATTTTCAGTCAGTATACACTGTACTAATTCAGCATTTTAATTACGTGACATTAATCCTATACAATTTTCTAAGACTCAGTTATTTAGTCAAATATGCATTTAATTTGACTTTTTTGGCTCTTAATCTCAGAGCTGAAATATACTTTGAGAAGTACTCATCTATAAAGAGAATTTGAGGTGCTAAAGCTGTACATAAAGCAGAGAATGTCCTGTTCATGATTCATATATGCTAAAATATTAAATTAAAAAAAAAGACTACACCCAGTACATTATTTTACTTCATTGAAATACACTGAATAAAATACACTTCATTGAAATAAAACTGAAAATCAAAAATAAACTTTTATATATTCAAACTTTAGAACTCAGAAATTATCATGTGCTATGGTGTGTGCTGAGAGTGCTAGCAGAGTACCAAGACACTTTCCACCATCTGTCAGTGTTCCTGGTCAACCGGAGTGGTTTCAGGGGATTGGAGGCTCGCCAGTGTGACTCCCATCTACATGAAGGATCATAAGGAGGATTTAGGGAATTATAGGCATGTCAGTTTGACCTTGGTGGCATGGAAAGTTATGGACCAGATCATCTTGAGATCATAGAGTAGATGCAGGACAACTGGGGGATCAGGCCCTGCTGATCCTGCTTGACCAACATGTTCTCCTCCTAGGACCTGCCTGGTGAATGAGGAAAGGGCTGTTGACGTAGTCTGTGTAGACTTTAGCAAAACCTTTGACACTGTTTTCCACAGTATTCTCCTGGAGAAATTGGCAGCCTGTGGTTTGGACTGGTAACCTCTTTGCTGGGTAAATAACTGACTGTAGGGCCAAGCCCAGAGAGTGGTGGTGAATGGAGTTAAATCCAGCTGGCAATCAATCAAAGTGCTGTTCTGCAGGGGTTAGTATTGGGGCCTGTCCTTTTTAATATCTAAAATAGATTTAATATCTATCTACATTGATGACCTGGACAAGGGGATAGAGTGCCCCTTCAGTAAGTTTGCAGATGACATCAAGCTAGAAGGAAGTCTTGATCTGCCTGGGTATAGGGAGGCCCTTAAGAAGGATCTGGGTCTAGATTAATGAGCCAAGACCAATGGAACAAAGTTCAACGTGACCAAGTACTGTATCCTGCCCTTTAGTTACAAAAATCCCAGGCAACATTACAGGTTTGGGGGCAGAGTAGCTGGAAGACTGTATGGAAGAAATGAACTTGGAGGCATTGGTCAGCATTCAGCTAAACATGAGCCAGTAGTGTACTTAGATGGCCAGGGAGGCCAGTGGCATCCTGGCCCCTGTACTCAGCTCTGGTGAGACTGCACCTTGTCTTTTTCAGCCCCTCACTACAAGAAAGACATCAAGACCCTGGGGCATGTCCAGAGCCAGGCAATGAAGCTGATGAGGAGTCTAGAGAACAGGTGTCATTAGGAACAGCTGAAGGAACTGGGATTTTTTAGTCTG